AACTTATGTCAATGATAATAAAATATTTTGGCAAAGTCGCTAAGTTGGCAACACTGCCAGTGACTCCGGTCCAATCGCGAGAAAACGTAATGGCCAACCTGTGACCACAATCAAGATTGGCCAATAGAGTAAGGTTTTTTAGAAGATGCCGCCCACTGAGCTGCAGTTTTTAACTCGTAAAACTTTTCAACTCGCAAGCAAAGATTTTTAGCAAAAAGCAGAACTAATGAGCACACAATGAATTAATCTGGTGGTAACTGCATAAAATGGCAATAGTTAATTTTTTGCAGTGTGAATTTTTTATTTTAATATTTTTTTATTATTTGAAATCTTTTATTTTTTAATTGCATTGTACCTAATTATGGTCAAAAACTTCATTTTTGTTTGAATAATAAAGACACAAAATTTACCTCAGCGTACATGGGTTCAAAACTTTCAAACTCACAAGCAAAACTTTTTAATCTGATTGGCTTACCAATGATTACAGAGAGACCAGCCGCGATCAATCATATCACATACTCCTCTCGAAATTAGTTTATGCAACTTCACTTAGTGTGTGTGTGTGTGTGTGTGTGTGTATGTTTCAGGGAGCTGCTGCGCTGTGAAAGTGCTCTGGCGCGTCTGTACTGCCGCATGGCCCTCCTCAACATCTTTGCCCCCAAGAGTCCTCACACATTCACACACCTCTTCCACATCCCTGCAGTGCGTGACATCACACTTGAATATCTGCAGCTCCTGTCCAATCAGCTGCTGACTCCGCCTTTGCCAGGTGATGTCATACAAATATGTTGATGAGCACTATTTTACATGCATAACAGCAATGTTAGAAGATTTATAAGAATAACGTGACAAGATTTTAAAATATTTTTTGAGAATTTATTAATATTTACTAATGAGCAAAAATGATGTAAATACACATATTTGGAAATTAAGCTTTTTTAAAAGTGTTTAAGCATATTTTAGCTCTTAGTTAATGCATTAACTATCATTAAATAGTAAAGAACAATTCTTTTGTTTTACACTATATATTATTGTTTATTAAGATGCTAAATGTCATGTTTGAGGGAAAAAGTTTTCTTTTATTTGAAATTGAAGCATTATTTAAATATTTGTCGTAAGTTTCCTTGATAACAACAAGTTGTTGAAGCATTTGTGTTTTTAAGCACTCTACAATAAGCTCCCATTAGTTCACATTAGTTTGTTCTCTTGACGGATTAGAATGTTTTTGAGGTTACTTTTAATGTACAATGTATAATTCTAATGCATAATTCTAATTTGTTAAATCCTATTTCTTAACATTATTCACAGTTAAAGTCAGAAAATATTTTTTAAATATTTCACAAATTATGTTGAACAGAGCAAGGAAATTTTCAAAGTATGTCTGATAATATATTTTTTTCTTCTGGAGAAAGTCTTATTTGTTTTATTTAGGCTAGAATAAAAGCAGTTTTTAATTTTCTTAAACCCATTTTAAGGTCAATATTATTATCCCCTTTAAGCTATTTTTTGATAGTCTACAGAACAAATCATTGTTATACAATAACTTGACTATTTACCCTAAGCTGCCTAGTTAACCTAATTAACCTAGTTAAGCCTTTAACTATGTCACTTTAAGCTGAATACTAGTGTCTTGATAAATAGCTATTCAATTATTATTTACTGTCATCACAGCAAAGATAAAATAAATCAGTTATTCGAAATTATTTATTGAAACTAGGATGTTCATAAATGTGTTGAGATATTTTTCTCCGTTAAACATAAATTAGGGGAAAAATAAACAGGGGGCTAATAATTCAGGGGGTAATAATTCTGACTTCAACTGTATGCAGCATTAACAGTAAGGACTTTTTGTACTGTATTTATATATTCAGTTGGCGTGTCTGTGTGGAGTTTGCTTGTTCTCCCTGCGTTCGCATGGGTTTCCTCCAGGTGCTCCGGTTTCCCCTACAGTCCAAAGACATGCGGTACAGGTTAATTGGGTTGGCTAAATTGTCCATAGTGTATAAGTGTGTGTGAATGAGTGTTTGTGGATTTTTCCCAGAGATGGGTTGTGGCTGGAAGGGCATTCGCTGTGTAAAAACGTGCTGGATAAGTTGGCCGTTCAATTCCGCTGTGGCTACCCCAGATTAATAAAGGGACTAAGCTGACAAGAAAATGAATGAATAAAATAAAATTATTATATAAATTTATTATAATAATTGCATTGCATGTTCTCCCCGTGTTGGTGTGGGTTTCCTCTGTGTGCTCCGGTTTCCCTCACAGTCCAAACTCATGCGCTATAGGGGAATCGATTAACTAAATTGGCTGTAGTGTATGAGTGTGCATGTGATGGGTGCTTCACAGTACTGGGTTGTGGCTGGAAGGGCATCCACTGCGTAAAACATATGCTGGAATAGTTGCTGGTTCATTCTGCTGTGGTGACCCCTGATGAATAAAGAGACTAAGGCCCCGTTTACACTAATGCGTTTTAGTTTGAAAACGCATAAGTTTTGCTACGGTTACGCCATCCGTCCACACGATGCCGGAGCTTTCGAGTGCCGAAAACGGAGCCCAGAGTGCGCGAATGGTCACGTGAAATACGTTTTTGGTGGCATAGTGTGGACGGAGATATGTTCAGAAATGCTAGGTGAAACGCTAATGTGGACACATTGTATTTGATCTAAAACACCGTTTTTAAACTAAACGCATTAGTGTAAATGGGGCCTAAGCCGAATGAAAAATGAGTGAATGAATGAAAGATGAAGTCATTTCTCATAATCTGTCTGCTGACTCTCCTGTGTGTGTGTATAGATGGCCGGATCAGCTGTAACTCTGTGCGGTTGGAAATCAGGGAAACGCTCAGAGTGTCCGCGAGTGGCTGAGCGTGGCCATCAGGAGAGCTCTGCATCAGGGAGAGGACAGTCAGCTGGAGCTCACCAAACAGATCTGCTGCTTCCTGCAGGTACCACACACACACACACACACACACACACACATATACACATCATCATCATCATCTTAAAACAGATTTTCGGGAATTCGGAAGACAACAAAAACAAAACACGTCACATGACCTTCACATTTGAAGTTTATAACACTCCATAAACATCAAACATGTTTTTTTCATTATACACTCACCGGCCACTTTATTAGGTACACCTGTCCAGCTGCTTGTTAGTGTAAATTTATAATCACATGGCAGCAACTCAATGCATTTAGGCATGTAGACATGGTCAAGACGATCTGCTGCAGTTCAAAGCGAGCATCAGAGTGGAGAAGAAAGGGGATTTAAATGGCTTTGAACGTGGCATGGTTGGTGGTGCCAGACGGGCTGCTCTGAGTATTTCAGAAACTGCTGATCTACTGGGATTTTCACGCACAAACATCTCTGGGGTTTACAGAGAATGGTCCGAACAAGAGGAAATATCCAGCGAGCGGCAGTTCTGTGGGCGCAAATGCCTTGTTGATGCCAGAGGTCAGAGGAGAATGGCCAGACTGGTTCCAGCTGATAGAAAGGCAACAGTAACTCAAATAAGCACTTTTTAAACCGAGGTCTGCAGAAGAGCAACTCTGAATGCACAACACGTCCAACCTTGAGGCGGATGTTCTACAGCAGCAGAAGACCACACCAGGTGCCACTCCTGTCAGCTAAGAACAGGAAACTGAGGCTACAATTCACACAGGATCACCAAAACTGGACAATAGAAGATTAGAGAAACGTTGCCTGGTCTGATGAGTCTCCATTTCTGCTGCCACATTCGGATGGTCGGGTCATACCTGTCAACATTGGGCTCTAAAAATAAGGGATATGCCCACCACAATAAGGGACACCCCCCCCCCCCCCCCCACCCCCTTAAAAAATCCACAAATTGCTAAATATGTTCATTTGGAGCTGTTTCATTGTAAATAAACAGTTAAATGGTCAGTAATATGTTTTAAATTTATTTTTAACAAAATAAAAATAAAAATATACATTAGCATCAAATACATTAGCAAACAGTTCAGCTTATTAAAATAAATAGCTATTATAATGAAATAGAATCAAGCTATCAATCAATCTCATTAGTCGTTTCTCCACTGTATGACTTACACATTCTGATTAAAGAGCAACGAATGAACCTCTCACTTATTAAGATTTTTTCATTACATTAAATAAGAGGTGTCACTTAAAAAATGCACACATCTAACAATATAATGAAAACATTGACTGCTTTCCTAACTGTTTATGCTCATTTAAGTCAAAACTAGTTGTGTTTGGGGAAAAAAACACCAAGATCGACATCTTTATATGTTATTATTATTAATTATGTGTGTATGTCTGTTTAAACACGCACACAAAAGCAAAACTTTCTCTCCGATTCAAATCGCGTGTACAGAATCCGTTTGGGAAACAGCATCTGTTTATCATTATGGAGCACGTGAGCTGACATCACGGCACCTGTAATCAAAAGGAAATGGCGCCATTTTTAATATTTAGCGAAAGCACAGAAGACACACGTTTTAGAGCAAGGGGCGACCCCTGGTGGTTCAGCTGTATGGGTTGCGTACAGGGAGGCTCGCTGTTCAGAGAAAGACTGAAAACACGGGAAAAATACGGGGAAATACCTTTACGGGAAAATTGCAGGATAGAACAGTAAAATACGGGAGAATCCTGGAAAGAACAGGAGGGTTGACAGGTATGGGTCGGGTCAGAATTTAGCATCAACATCAATAAAACATTGATCCATCCTGCTTTGTATCAGCAGTTGAGGCTGCTGGTGTTGGTGAAATGGTGTGGGGGATATTTTCTTGGCACACTGTGGGCTCATTAGTACAGCCTGTATACTAAAGTATGTACATGTTTGTGTATTTGGTGAAAATATGCTTAACATGTTTTTTTGCTGAATACATCTTCTCTGTACTCCAGAGTGCGCCTGAGCAGTTCACGCTGGAGGAGATTCCAATCACCGAGTCAAAGGTCAGCATGGACGTCAACTTTTCCGGCTCGTCTCCTGCAAAGAGAGTCAACTCAAAGAGTGAGTTAAGAGCACAGTAAGGGGTACAGCTGTGGATCCCCACATTTATATAGCGTCATTTTTGTGACACTGTACAACAATAATTACAGTTTTTGCATTACTGGGAGGTTGGGGTAAGGGTAGACAATTTAACATACAGTCCGTAGATAAAATTACGTATTGATTTTATAAAGGGGTCTAAGTCTTCTCTGTGTGGGTTTATGACTCTTGGTGGCACAAAGCCTGTGCCTGTGTGACACCTCACTTATCTAGAGGTAAGCCAGAGATGGTTGCCCAAACTTCAAAAGACATTCCTGTCCCCCCTTCCTCCCGAGACACACAGACACACAGGGACACACACACACAAGGCTCCCGACGCTGAAATGGACTCAGAAATCCTGAATCAGCCCAAAAGTAAATGTTATGTGTTTGTAAACTTAGTATTTCATTTCAGACTTTTCTATCATGTGAATCTCTCTCTCGTGCCCTTTTTAAGACACTATACCAGCTAAGAATGTGTGAATCATGTTGATGTATTTCTTAAAACTGTCGTGTTTAATACCGTAAGGTTTCTCCTGCCATTTTACAACACATGATGTGTAGCGCGTGATCATAATCTATACAGCTTAAATGATTTAATGCTCTGAGTCAATGTCTCTTCACATGCTTTCGGGCGGATCCTTATTTTGCATATTAGCGGTCCAGAGACAAAGAAAATCTCCCGCTCAAACTTTGCCAGGAGACCATTGGTCAGTCAGTAGTTGACATGCCACCACAGTTTAAAACCCAGCTGCGCGCACAACTCTGCGTAGAAGATCCAAAAGAAGCTTTTCAAAAGGTGCGCCCCCCATTTGAGGGGGCAAACCGCATTTCTGTAACTGCATGGCTCGTCCGAGCCCACGTTTTCTTATTTTTTCAGCAAAGTAAAACTCAGTTTAAAGTTGCGATCATGTATCCTCCGACCTGCATTGCAAACTCCACGCATCAAGAAAGGACATCAAAGGACTCCGTACCCGAGTGCATCGGAAGAAACTCACAAAAAGAGAGAGACAGAAAAATCCTAAAACTCCAGGTATTTGGTTATGCGTTAAGCCTGTGCCCCTCATCAAAAAAGTGTTTTTTGTAATCTTGGTGGTCCTGAATAGTTGTGTGGAACTGAGGTAGATTTGCCATTCTTTTACCTAAACTCTCTAATTCTTCGCTTTTCTGTTTCTTTTTGTTTTTTATATGTTCTATAGATCCATATATAGCCTATATATCTTCAGTATACGTTTGTTCTATGTTTGTGCGTTTGTTTGTTATATGTCAGACTAGTCAATAAATATTCTTATAATCACGTTGGATTGTATTGTTTGCCTCACAGAAAAAGTCACTGAAACGATTGATTCCTTGCTACAAGCTGTATTAAGTTAATCAAAACTTATAAATGATTGATCTACAAGGAGTAGTAATAATTCCCTTTCTAAATAAATAGATCATTACAGGGTCCGCTTGAGCAAGCGGGCGAGGTCTGGTTATATTAACAATACGTTAATTCAGAATATGAATGATCAATAATAATTTGCTATTATTGATAATAAATATTCATAATCTGAGAGTCCGCTTGGACAAGGGGGCAGAATCATGAATATATATATATATATATATATATATATATATATATATATATATATATATATATATATATATATATATATATATATATATATAACCAAATTGACAGAAGGGTGAGGCGGAATATAAATATTTTATAAAAACCCGTTATTGTTGATTATTAATATTCATAAACTGAGTTAATTTCGCTACAACATTAATATTATACCATCAATGGGCAGTTTGATAAATAATATGAATTATACGCTGTGTAATTACTGTTTTTGCATTACTGTGAGGGTTGAGCTTTGAAATCAAGTCAACTTTATGGTAATGAGCAATGACGCGGTTCGGCAGCAAGCAATCAGAATGTAGAAATTCACCGATTGAGAAGAGTCCAGAAAACATTCTGTGAACTTTGGTTCCGACAACACTTGTTCCCAAGGGTTTGATTATTACGCCAGATTACCAATTATTTCCAATGTTTTTCTTACAGGTACATACATTAAAAAAGTTACTGGCGAGTTTCTGATGTGCATCGATGATATATATATATTTATTTTTCTTTAAAAAAGCGAGAATCTCATGCGACAAGACAGAACAGTATTGCTGCTTCAGGATATTTCAGACATATGGACACGTTTAAAAATTAAGTGAAGCAAAGCCACACCACATACCAAGGTTATTATAGTTAATGAAAACTAACGAAAAAACGAAAACTAAAATGTTAAATAATTGTCGTTAACTGGAATAAAAATAAAAACGAGAACTAACTGAAACTGTATTGTGTCATGAGAGTAAACTCTTCATTCGTTTCACAGATTACTTTTTATTAAACAGACACGCATGTACCACGCACTTCCTATAAACTCTGTCATTCACTTTCCGGGTTAACCCCTTTGACCCCCACGGGGTGGGGTTACACCAAACAGGTACAATATGATTGGTTAACATAATAAACTGGTTTCCCACATCTTCCCTCTTTAGAAAAGAAGATCATGTTTTCCACTTTTAACACAAACCCTAAACATTGGTTTATGTTTAACAGCATACCCAAATTAAAGTGCAACATCAAGCAATGATATTGTTTTTTTTTTTTTTTTTTTTTTCATTAACTCAAATCTTAATTCCTTTCTATAACCTGAAACAGTCCAAGTAGTCTAAGTAACGTTTGGGCGTTTTCACCACCCTTCCACTGGAAGTCGTAACTGGTGGTTTAGTGTCCAGTAAAGGTGTTGCTGGGTCAACTGTGTGAGTATTTGAATGTTCAGTCCCAGACAGAGCTGGTTCTTTTTCTTCCTGCAATTCTGCTTGGATTGTAGCATCTGGTTGCGATGGCATTGCTTGCAAATGCTTCCTGTTTCTACGCAGGACAGCTCCTTTTTGAGTTTGCACCAAGTACGATCTTGGTTCTGATGTTTTGTTTAGCACCATCGCTGGTGTTTTCCAGTGCTTTTCGCTGTCCAGCTTAAGAAGAACCTTCTCTCCAGGATGTAACTCGGGCAGTGTGCGAGCAGAGTGTCTCCGGTCATAATAGAACTTGTAAGACTCCTTTGCAGCTTTATCTTTCTACTCCACTGCTTTAAGATCATTGGGTTGAGGTTGATATTTTTCCTCAAGCATTGGCAGTTTGGTTCTAATCTGCCGTCCAGTCATTAATTGTGCAGGGCTAAGTCCAGTTGCAACGACCGGAGTCGCACGGTAACACATCAATGCCAGGTGAGGATCAGGTTGGCAGAGAATCCGTTTTGCAGTTTGAACTGCTCTCTCTGCAGCCCCGTTGGCTTGGGGAAAATGAGGACTTGAAGTTGTATGATGGAAATCATAGTCTGTACAAAACTGTCTAAATTCAGCTGAGGCAAACTGTGGGCCATTGTCAGATACAAGCTCCCTGGGAATACCCCATCTCACAAACATGCACTTCAGTCTGCTGATAACATTAAAGCTGGATAGTGTTTGCAGGTGAGCTATTTCAATGTCACGTGAGTGGTAGTCTACAACTACTAAGTAAGTTTTCCCATTCAACTCGCATAAATCTGCAGCAATCTTACACCAGGGACCAGTAGGCAGGGGTGTAGTGATCAGGGGTTCTTTTCTTTGTGTAGGTTTATGAGTCCTACAAAATGTGCACCCTGAAACAATCCTGTTGATGTCATTGCCAAGTCCTGGCCACCAAACTGACATCTTTGTCCTCTGGCGACACTTTGCGAGCCCCTGATGTCCTTCATGAATTCGGCTTAACACTTCCTCCCTCATCAACACAGGAACGACAATTCTGTCCTCATACAAGACTAACCCATTGACAAAAGACAATGAAGCCCTGGCTGTATGATAATGACTCAAGGGGAAGGGTATGTGCTTTGGCCAACCCATGCTGAGAAAACCTATCACTGCCTGGAGATCTGCATCTAACTCTGTAGCCTTCCTAATGGAATCGAGCTTGGATTGTGACACCTCTTTAGATGCAACAACTGCTTCAACATATGCCTTCACCTCATCTTCCATCTCTGAGTGGAAGTGCCCACTCAAAGGTTTCTGAGAAAGCGTGTCCGCCACCACCAAACATTTACCTGGAACATGGACTGCCTTTGCATTGAAGCGCATTAATCGCATTAGCAAACGCTGACATATTAACGGAGCACGATCAATATCATACGAATTTATTAGTGGAACTAGCGGTTTATGATCTGTCTGCGGGCAAAAATTCTTCCAATCCTTGAAGGTAACGAGCAAAACGCTCGCAGGCCCACACTCCCGCCAAGCACTCCTTTTCAATTTGTGAGTACCTGCGCTCTGCTTCAGTCAAAGATCTCGAGCAGAATGCGACTGCTCGCGTCACATTACCATGAACTTGAAGCAGAGCAGCTCCCAACCCAAAACTGCTCGCATCAGCACTAACCATTGTGGGTTTTTCAGGGTCATAATATGCCAGAGTAGGAGCTGTGGCCAACATGGATTTTACCTTACTCAGAGCCTGCTCCTGGACCTCGGACCAAATCCAGACTGCATCTTTCTTCAGCAGAGCTGTAACTGGTTGCAGCACTGTTGAAAGCCCTGGCACAAATTTGCCTAAATAATTGATCATTCCTAAAATTTGCCTTAGCTCAGTCACATTAGTGGGACTAGGCATCTCAGTAATCGCTGTTACCATGGTTGCATCCGGCTTGATACCGTTCTGACTGATGGTGTGCCCAAAATACCGTAGCTCAGGTTTGTTGAAGTGACATTTATCACGATTTAATTTCAGACCTGACTCTCTGATAGTTTTCAAAACAGCCCCAAGATTCTCGTCATGCTCATTTTGATCTTTACCCCAGACTAGTATGTCATCCATGACAACTACCGTGCCTTTGTGTCCAATTAGGAGTTTGCTCATTTCCCTTTGGAAAATCTCAGGGGCCGAAGTGACCCCAAACGGCAATCTATTAAAACAAAACCGCCCTACTGGGGTTATGAATGTAGTCAAATTTACGCAGTTTGGGTCTAAAGGAATTTGCCAAAACCCTGAGGATGCGTCTAGTGTGGAAAAGACACACGCACCTGAGAGCTTGGGGGCTATATCCTCCAACGTTGGGAGAATGTAACGCTCACGCTTTACAGCCTGATTGAGCCGTTTCAGGTCTACACAAATCCTAACTGAACCATTCTTTTTCACTACGGGCACCATTGGGGCACACCATTCGGTCGGTTCAGTCACTTCGGAAATTATACCCAAGGACTGCATACGTTCGAGCTCTTTTTCCACTTTAGGCAATAGGGGAAAGGGAATTCTTCGAGGGGTGGACAGACTATAGGGAGTAGCATCTGACTTTAGCTCAATTTTTACAGGTTCACAATTAAGCAAGCCAATGTCTCCATAGACATCACTGTGGTCTGCAATTTCATCCACTCTCTGTACTAGATCCATCTCACAGGCAGTGCTACGACTAAGCAAATTGTTGGCAAATGGCCCATCAATTACAAAAACCCAAAATTCAAAATTTTTCCCTTTTCTTTCAGTGTTTGCTAGAAATTTCCCCATGCAATTCACTTTTCCTCCTGGGCTTCTCGCATTTATACTTGTTTTAACCAGCGGGGGGCGCTCTTGTAAGCTTTCAAACACTGAGCGTGACATGATGCTGATGTCGGCTCCGGTATCAATTTTGAATTGGACCGACCTGCCTTGAATAGGCAAAGTAACACACCACCTGTCTTCTGCAGCTGACTCATTCATTACAGAGCCCAGGAAAAATGAATCGCCAGTTTCACTATCACACACTACAAGCTCTTTGACATTTTTAGTTTTACATGCAATTGCAAAATGTCCCAGCTTATTGCATCTTCTACACCTCTTGTTTCGTGCAGGGCAATTATTCTCATTGTGTGTGTGATTACAGCGTGTGCAGTCCACAATCTGTTTTCTCTCTCCACCTTTTTCCTTTTTCGGTGGCCCCGAAAAACGCTTTGAACTTTTGTAATGTCCGTGCTGTACGGCGCTCACATCAGCGGCTGTTCCACCGCTCGCATTTTGCGTCTTAATAAGCTCCGACTGCCGGGCGATCTGGACCGCTTTATCCAACGTTAGTTCGGGTTCCATTTGTAACTTCTGAGAAACGTCACGATCTGCAATCCCTATGACAACTCTGTCCCGTATTTGTTCAACTTTGCTCGCGCCAAACTCGCAGTATTCAGCCAGTTCATAAAGACACCTGACAAAAGCTTCAACAGTCTCTCCTGATCTCTGTGTGCGCTGATGAAAACAGGCTCTCTCATGAATAACATTCCTCCTGGGCACAAAATGTTCATCAAATTTGCCGACTACAGTCTCGTAATTGTTTGCGTCTGAAGCTTCGGCAAACGTGAACGATCCGAATATCGTTTCGGCATCCCTGCCCATTGCATACAACAGAGAGTTAACTTGTACTTCACCGTCTTCCTTGTTCAGTTTCGTCGCGATGCGGAACCGGGAGAACCGCTGGATCCACGCGGGCCAGGTTGCAGGCTGCGCGAAATCAAAGGCTTCTGGTGGGTTGAACTTGGACATTGTCAGTTCCAAAACTGGGCGAGCTTGCTCGTGGGTATAACGTACGATTCTGACACCATGTCATGAGAGTAAACTCTTCATTCGTTTCACAGATTACTTTTTATTAAACAGACACGCATGTACCACGCACTTCCTATAAACTCTGTCATTCACTTTCCGGGTTAACCCCTTTGACCCCCACGGGGTGGGGTTACACCAAACAGGTACAATATGATTGGTTAACATAATAAACTGGTTTCCCACATATTGTGCACATACAAAAACTAAAACTAACTGAAACTGTATTGTGTACTTACAAAAACTAAAACTAACGAACTGTATTGTGTACATACATAACTAACTGAAACTAACTAGAATTATAGCAAAAAACTTCTTCATTTTCGTATTCGTAAATGTATTTAATAAATAATCTTACTGTAAGCATTTTAGAAGTAAATATAATCCGCGCTGCAGGTATTTGTGTTTGACCCTTTCGGACCTCAGAGTCTCCTTCCGCCATTGGGCAGATCGAGCCGGTTCTCCTCGAGTCATCTTCTCTGTTGCTCCCGCGACAAAAACAAGTGGACATGACAGCAGCACGGTGATAGCATTAAATACAGAGACTTAAAATTATTACTTTAACACATTTGTGCCCAATAATGGGTTGTATTCCTGTAGCGCAATCGCGAACGAATCTTTGTAACCGAATCTTCTTAGTGAACCGGTTGAACAAGTTCACCAAATCGAACTGAATCATTTTAAACGATTCGCGTCTCCAGTAAGCATTCACCCACTTCTTACGTAATAACTAGCCTAATACCCCCTCTGACTCTTAGATAATCCAATATATAAGCTGCATCCCAAATGGCACACTATACACTATGCACTCATGCACTATGTACTTATGCACTTACACACTCAACAGGATAGTACATGTATGTAGTGTTGTCCCAAATGGCACACTAATGTTTTTTTACTAAGCGGAAATTCAAACCGTTTCCCTGATGATGTTTGACTGTTGCCAAATCAGTGAAATAAACAACTGAATTATCAAGTAATACCTGCCGTGAGTATTGCCGCATTTACCATCCGGAGGCGCTATAATCACTCTCGTAGGAGAATTTTGCTTTCACCATCCAAAATAAATAAAGTTAATCAACATGTGCGTCCGATCGCTCCGCCCCTTCCGCTACGTAAGCAAACCTGCGGTCGTTGAGTGCGTGAAGTGTCCATCATTACACACTTAATTTTAGCGGCTGAATGAGTGCATCATCCGGGTAATTAAAGTGCACTTATTATTTTTAGAGTTTTCAGTGTGAACACACTGCTTACACTATTTATACTACAAAATGGCGTAAAATAGTGCATAAGTATGCGATTTGGGACGCAGCTATACTCTCAAGCAGTTATTAGAACAGTAACGTTACATTGAGAGTTGGTGAACCGATAATACTGCGCATGCGTGATTCAGTGAACCAAACACAAACGGTACAGCCTGCTGTATGACTGAACTGAACTTAAAACAACTGCAGCGCGGGTAAACCGAGGGCTTAAATGAGAGGATCTGGAGAAAAAACTGAAATTTATTTCATAACAGACAATCGTAATGAAATTTAAATAAGTGAAGCATGATTCAGTTGGGTTTACAGTTAGTAAAACTTTATTGTAAGACATTTTTCAGATCATGATGATGTTTTAACTGACTGAAATTACTATTGCCGACTACATAATGTTGAGTCCTAACATCTGCGTTAGAAATCTGAATTTCCCATCACCAGGCCCGGATTAATAAATCAGAGGCCCCTGGGCACAATGTCTTGTAGGGCCCCTATAACCGCACCCCATAGTTTAATTAAAAATAATATTGATATAATATTTGTTAAATAAATAAAATTAATCTATAATGTATTGTCCACATTTGTTTAAATAGATGATATACAGTACATATATTTGTAGTCTACAGAGATTTAACTTATTTTTAAAGCATTTAAGCACACTTTAAATTTTTTTTTAATACAAATAAGGGAAGCTAATAGATTTTAATATACTTGTTCAAGTTCACTGAAGCAGCACTAAAATTTATATTTAAGGGTATTTTTAATGTATAACTTCTACAAACTTATAATGCATATGATTTGGATAACACCTCTCCAATCCAGTTCTAGGAATCAGAGTCCTCAGTAATACACACACTTCATTATTCATTATTCCTACTTGTCTTCCTCGTGATGGAGAGTATGTGCCCATAATGCCCATTGGTTAATCCGGCCCTGCCCATCACTACGTCTAACCTCACAAGCAGCCTTGCACACATATTGTATTTAGGGCTGCTTTCTTGTGGGCTGTTGTATTTGAATTTGAGGATGGGTAGATGGTTGTGGTAGATGATAGTGTTCATGTGTCCTCTGAATACATGTTTCAAAAAATGTATGACTGCGTTTTTAATTATACAATATTTATCCTGTTGATTTTCAATCTTGTACCTAACAAATATCCTCATTTAGAAAAAAAACCTAAAACTAATACTGAAACTAATAAAAACTAAACTAAAACTAAGACATTTTAAAATATAGAAACTAATAAAAACTAGTAAATCTGCCTCTAAAACTAATAAAAACTAACTGAATTTGAAAACAAAAAGTCAAAACGAAATAGAAACTAAAACTAAAGAAAAATCCAAAACTATTATAACCTTGCCACATACAACTTGATCTTCCATTGTTTATTAAATTTGATAAAAAGTGTGCAACATCTTCACGCTAGAAAGCATGTTTTATGTGGTAATGTAACTGATATGTTATGATATGCTGCAACGGCGACCTTTGACGTTTTCACCACCTTCGGTGTGAATGCACAGTTATAGGAATGAATGTGATGTTCAGTATGAGAAAGGTAAGAATGATCACTATGGCCAATACAGTAGTTTCAGTGTTAAGGACATTTTGTGTTCAAATATTCATTTATTCATTCATTTCTGCTTAGTCCCTTTATTAATCTGGGGTCGCCACAGCGGAATGAACCGCCTGTACAAATATTTGATAATGCTATTTAAATTTTTTCTCTCTCTTAGTTCCTCTCTGTTCAAAGCTCCATGGACTCGAGTGATGGTGTATGGATTCAGTCATAAAGTGCAGCGTAATGGCCAGCTGAACCTGATGGGGGCCGTGTGTTTCCCGCTGGACGCCTCTCCGTCCAACACCGGCCTCACTTCTCCACCCACAGCCAACCAGTATCCTAGCATCATCATCCCCACCGACAAAGTGCACAACAAATTGGGCACGTCACAATCTCTTACATACAGTGGGGGAAAGAAGTATTGAACACGTCACCATTTTTCTCAGAAATCATATTTCTAACGGTGCTGGAGACTTGAAATGTTCACTGCATGTCGGTAAGAACTAAAGAAATCCATATATACAAAGAAAATAAAAACAATTTGTTGTTGATTAATTGATGTGCAATAAAATGAAATAATGCAGGGAAAAATAATCGAACACATGAAGAAATGGGGTGTAGAAAGACTTGGAAAGCCCAGACAGCAGCTGAAATCTCTCAGTAGTTCTTTAGCAACCCTCTGCCCTTCCTCAGTGTAAATGAACATCAGCTGCTTCAGTCCAACATCTACATTAGCAGGAGGATAAAGATAAAACCAGGGTGGACATTTCAGCAAGACAGTGATCCAAAACACAGCCAAGGAGACTCTTAAATGCTTTCAGAGAAAGAAAACCAAGCTGTAGAATGGCCCAGCCAATCACCTGAACTGAATTCAATAGAAAACACAAAATAAAGCTCAGATTTAATAGACGAGACCCACAGAAGCACTAAAATGTTGAATCTCTGTTGAAGTCTATCAGAAACTCACACTTGAGCAACGCATGAGGCTTCAGTCTCCATGTGAGAGGCGTCTTTAAGCTGCGATCACCAAAAAATCCTTTTATATAAAGTATTAAATACGTTGGGCGAGGCAGTCACAGCAAGAAGGTCGCTGGTTCGAACCTCGGCTCAGTTGGCGTTTCTGTATGGAGTTTGCATGTTCCAAATGCAAACTTGCTGAATAAGTTGGCGGTTCATTTCGCTGTGGCGACCCCAGATTAATAAAGGGACTAAGCCGACAAGAAAATGAATGAATTAAATACGTTTCAACAGTTCAGTACTTTCTCCTTGTGTCATTTCATTGTTATTACACAAAACTCATATTTTTTGGTTTTGTTTTATGTTTATGTTTGTATTGTTTGGGTTTTTATCAAAATCTGGTTCAATTCTATGTCAGCAGCTCTTATAGTAAAACATGGCGTGTTTAATACTTATTTTCCCCACTGTACATTTATTTTATTTTAACAGTGATCTGCATTATTTTGCATTCTCTAAGTGAACAATCAGATTCATTAAGACCATTCCTGCTGACTTTAGCTTATATCTATATTTCTGTCCACAGGCGTGTCTCCCTCTCCTGGTGCAGTGCTGGTGTTGCACTCGTTGCTTCTTGAGTTTCCATTGGCGATGGCCTTCGCTGAACAGCTGCTAACCTACAGTTTAGGAGAAACAATAGAGCGCTCTGAGGATGAGCTGGACACGGTGCCCACTTCTGTGCTCATTCAGGTCGTGGAGCTGCTAGGTGAGATATGCTTATTTAATTTGCTCTGAGTTTATACAACCAGGGGTGTATAAACTCAATCCTGGATGGCCGGTGTCCTGCAGAGTTTAGCTCCAACCCCAATTAGATACACCTAAACAAGTTAATCACGCTCTAACTAGCATTCTAGAAACTTCCTTGCAGGTGTGTTGAAGCAAGTTGGAGCTAAACCCTAGACATTATATGTTGCATTCAACACATTGCTGTTTTGTTTGTTTCAACAGTTTGTTTTCCTTTTTTTTTAAGTCTTGAAGTGTCTTAAATGTGCTATTATAGTGTTGTCACGATACTGGAATTCGGTACCAATCGATACTGAAGTTTTAAAAACAACCCAGGCTCATTCTGAAAGCGTAGTCCCATGGACGTTTTTGGAGACCGCAAAATACGTCCCGGGAGGTACTTATTCATGCATTTTTGGTGTTCGAAAATCCACAAGAGGCCGCTGTGTACGCTTTTTTAGATCTCAAATTTCTTGAGTAAGTTCTCCCGCTAGTGCCGTTTGCGCCCGCTGTCCACGCGTACACCCACTGGAAGCCGCTTTCGACCGACCCACCCTCCTTCTTCCCTAAACCCAACCAATTTTATCGATTGAACCGCCCACTCACTTCCCTAAACCCAACCAATGATTTTCAAAAGCCGTCCAGAAAAAGAAAAGCCCTCGTCTGATTTTTACCATGTTTTTGGATTTTACCACATTCTTACCCTGTTATTCACTCATTCATTTTATTTTTTGGATTCTGTTTTTGTCTTACCTGATTTCTGGAACCGCTCCTCCCTGGATTTGAATCCCGCCGTCCTTGTCCTCGTCTGGCGTCTCAAGTTCGTTGATGTACACGACGAGCTAACTGGACAAACTGGTTGCGGTGGGAAAGCCTTCCACAGTTAGCGTTCGTTTAAAAAAAATTTAATGCAGCCATACCATACGTACCTCCGGCTACATAATTCGCGGTCTCCAGAAACGTCCACGGGACTATGTTTTCAGAACGAGCCTGTGATGCTGTTTAAAAACCTCCATTTCACGCTAACATTTGAGCGCCATTGAGCGTGTTCTTAAACAGCGATGATTTTGTGTTCACATGCTCAACAGAAATGACTGCAATTGGTCGTGAAGGTCGTCGGTTTATTGAACTCACTGCTATTTACTGAGTGTAACCACATATAAAGGAACACTGTTTTAAAGTCACATCCATCAGCTGATTTGGATATAAGCTGACATATGAGTGATCCGCTGATGAATCGGCTTTAAAATGCTTCAGTGTAACACAGATAACATATACAGTTATTTTAAACACTTTCTATGGTGCTTTATGAAAATTCAAAGGGTTTTCTTTAAAATGATACTAAATTTTTGCATTTACACCTCTGCGTGTGGATTTTGGAAGCTTTTAAATTTGGGTAGGCAAAATCCAGGTGGAAATCCCAAAATAGCACTGGGGATTAAGAGGTTAATGAAATCTTATTGCTAAGTGTGACAGATTAAATATTTAAAGGTGCAGTATGTAGTTTTTACCACTAGAGGGCATGTATTCACAACAAACAAAGGTGTAGTCTGATGACTGTGTGACGGGTGCTTTCACACCTAGACTTTTGTTTCAGAACATGTCTCGTTTGCCCAGTTAGTGTGGTTTGTTTGGCATATGTGAATCCAGCAGTCGCGCTCGGATCCGTGCCAAAACAATCGGTCTGAGATCGCCTGAATGAGGTGGTCTCGACTCGATTTAATGAACTCTGGAGCGGATCTATTGTAGTAAGAAAGCGATACGATCCGAGCCCGGCTATACCACAGTGGATATGTAATAGGCATATACTCGGCTATATAAAGACAGAATTATGAGTAGGGGGGGAGGTCATTCCAGACATCCCAAGTCTCCCGGAAGTCTCCCGCACAGTGGACCCTCCCAGTCCACAAATACGTTGCGCACCCTTCTCAACCCTCCACACCGAATCCCTCCTCGCTCTTTAGTCTTCATACACGTTGCGCGCACCCTGTCAAACACCACCAAACCCCCAGCCCCCCTGACAGCAGAGCAGGACTCTTCAAAATAAACCGTGAAACTGACCAATGTGAGGAGAGTTTACTCACACATGACTTGTTTTAGCTCTTTTGGTCCGTTCAGTAACTTTGCAGTGTGAAAGTGAACCGCACCAAGAACAAAGAGCAACAATGAAGCAACAAATGAATCTGTTCACAGGTGTGAAAGCACCCTGAGTGTGGAATCATGGGAGTTGTAGTCTTCATTATTCTACAGGACTTATGTTGATGAGTAAAGTTATTCAACACTATTAGTATTAACCATTCAGCACAGGAAAGCAGCAGAGCTTTTATTATGCCATAGTCCTACGCTTCTGGTTCTTTATCTTGTGATCACATGGAGAAGCAGCCCTTTTTTATCAGACTAAATACATGTTAAGCAGGTCGCACACCAGAAGCGCCACGCAGCGCCATGCATTTTAGAATTCTAAGCATAGGTTTCTATCAGGATACACACACCGGCGCCTCAAGTCGGCGCTTTTGGTGTGCGACCTGCTTTAGGCTTCTGTTATAATGCTGCTATGTGCAGTTGAATAAAACACACAACATATTAAAGCCTCGCTGCTGTTTCCCTGTTTTCTAGAAAACCAAAGCAGAAATGTGTGTGATGACATTAGCATGAACACACAGCACACATTACATCTATCTTAATGTCAAAATTCTACAAAAAAATTAGTTTGGATAATGTATGTACATAAGACAGCAAAATATATAACACTGTCCGAGTGGTTTTTGCATATTTTAATGAAAAATCATACATATTGTGCCTTTAAGTTCATACTAGCATTCCTAATCATATAAAAATGCAACTTTTCTTATGAAATGCTGTATATAATAGCAGTTTATGTGTGATTTTATCATGTACTGTAGATCATATGATAAATGTTGTTTCTCCAGAACTGTACTGAGTGAGAAAACAACCGTCCTCAAGCCAAAATCTCCAGAGAAGACCAAACCCGATGAAAAAGACCCTGAGAAATCTCCTGCCAAAAATCTTGAAGGTCATTAATTTTACTTTTCTGATTTCTGATTTTATGCGGAAATTATAAACACAAACCGCATATATGATCATCTAAACGTAAAAGACAGTAAAATACTGAAAATTCCTCATCCACCACTTGTTTAAGTTTTTTTCTTCTGTTCAGTCAGAATTATTAGCCCCCCTGTCTATTCTTTCCCCAATTTCTGTTTAACAGAGAGCAGATTTCTTCAACACATTTCTAAATATAATAGTTTTAATAACTCATTTCTAGTAGCTGATTTATTTTATCTTTGCCATGATGACAGTAAATAATATGTGACTAGATATTTAACTAGGCAGGTTTGGGTAATTAGGCAAGTTATTGTATAACGATGGTTTGTTCTGTAGACTATAAAAAATATATAGCTTAAAAGTGCTAATAATATTGATCTTAAAATGGTGTTTAAGAAAATTAAAAACTGATTTTCACCTGATCCTTTGATAGTCCTCTTTGGTGTATCTCTTGAACCTAATTTGACAGTGCGTGACAGCAAGGTTCTTGCCTTTACCACAATTCTAGCCAGACGTGCCATACTTTTAAAATGGAAACACACTTCTTCCCCTACACATGACAAGTGGATACAGGACATTTTTTACTGTATCAGACTTGGAATGCTGAGATGCTCATTGCTCACTCTCTGGCTCAATAGATTCCTTTTATAAGATTTGTAATTCCTTTCTTGACTACATCAAAGGCCTGCCTATTACACCTGGTGCTGGCAACCTGTAACATTAACCATTTTATTAGAAAGTTTTAATTAATTTTATTATTATCATTTTTTGTATTTATTTAAATGCATTATTATTATTTTAATTATTATTATTTATCCCATCTGTATCCAGTTACTCTGATGTCATGTTCTAATGTATTTAATTTTCTTTTTTTTTGGTATTTATGTATTAATTTATTTGTTGAGTTAATGAACGAGAGGTTAGGGGGTGGGATTAATAATGGACAATACATTACTGTTTACCTCTCAATATTTAATTTTTATTGTCATGCAAAAGACCAATAAAAAAACTGAAATAACTAAAAAAAAGCTTTTATTCTAGCCAAAATAAAAACAAATAAGACTTTCTCCAGAAGAACAAATATTATCAGACATACTGTGAAAATTTCCTTGCTCTGTTAAACATCATTTAGGAAATATTTAAAAAAGAAAACAATAAATAAAAGAGGGCTTATGTTTCTGACTTCAACTGTATGTGTCCAATAAAAATTTTCAGGAAGTCTCTCAATATCTAAATATACACTCCACTGCAAAGGCTAATAAAAACGTAAATATGACTAAAAATTAGACATGATTGTTGTTACACATAACTGGGCACATAAAAACTGACATCTAAAGGTTGAACTGTGGTTTTGCAGGTGATTAAGTTTATTTCGAGCCTAAATTCATCAAATAATAATTAAGTACATAATAAAAATTATTATGTATAGATATGTAAATGTATTTAAGTTAATTATAATAATAATTAATAATTATATAAATATAAATAAATAAATAAATTATTTTGCTTATGCTTATACTTCAGCTGTATATATAGCCCCCCTTTGATTTATTTATAAATTTTTTTTAAGTATTTCCCAAACAATGTTTAACAGAGCAAGGACATTTTCACAGTATGCCTGATAATATTTTTTCTTCTGGATAAAGTCTTATTTGTTTTATTTCAGCTAGAATAAAAGCAGCTTTTAATTTTTTATTCACCATTTTAAGGTCAATTTTATTAGCCCCTTTAAGCAATATTTTATTTGATAGTCTACAGAACAAACCATCGTTATACAATAACTTGCCTAATTACCCTAACCTGCCTAGTTAACCTAATTAACCTAGTTAAGCCTTTAAATGTCACTTTAAGCTGTATAGAAGTGTCTTGAAGAATATCTAGTCAAATATTATTTACTGTCATCATGGCAAAGATAAAATAAATCAGTTATTAGAAATGAGTTATTAAATCTGTTATGATTAGAAATGTGTTGAAATAATTTTCTCTCCAATAAACAGAAATTGGGAAAAACAATAAACAGGGGGATTAATAATTCTGACATCAACTGTATACACATACATACATACATACATACATTATTTCTAAGTATATACAGAAGATTAATAAGGGATATGGTGTGAGAGGTGAATTTAGGAATTTTACACCCGTGAATATTATTATTTTATCAACTCTATTCAGTCAAATATAAATCACTCTTGCAGGTAGGTTTAGTTCTGTGACCGAATATCTTCAGATAAGAAACTGTTCCGCACTCAATCCTTCATTAAATAAACTGAAGCAGCTGAGGAGACAAAGGTTTCTGCTAAAAGCTTCTGTAAACCAACAGAAACTGGTTATTTTTCAATAGATGTATATGTTAAACCTTTAAAAATACCAACACACACACAGAGAAAGTCAATGTTTTCAGATTATTTTATTGGCTTGACAAATGTTCCATATGTATCTCCAAAGCATTTGTGATGTTTACATTAAATAGGACATATAAAAACAATTGACATAGTAGTGGTGGTTTTTCTAATAAATAATAATTAACAGCACATTAACAATCATCTGTAGGATAAAACAATAGTAATAAATAGTTTATCTAATAGTCAACAGATTAAGATTCATTTATAAACAATTTAGAATCCTGTTTGTGTGCGCACACACGCGCTCCCAGCTGATGGTTGCTTAGCAATGACAGTCATAGAATGTGTTCTATAGTAGTTCTATGTTAAAACAGCTCATCTCAGTTTGCCAGCATTCAGGACGGTGACTTGGTAAATCACACAGTTACTGTACGAATTGACAAATCTGTGATTGTGAAGGACTCGTTCGCTATGGATACTTACTATAAACAGTCTTCAGAAAACCCTCATCACGAGTGGTCATCGGTTGTTCTGACTTTGGACCCAGATGTGGACGAACAAGAACTGATTGAGTCAATGAAACAGTTCAGCCAAATCCACTCTTTGGATTTTTCTTTTGATGAAGACACTAATTGCAGACACATTTATGTGACTTTTGAGCATTCAGGACGGGACCAGCAACCAGATCCTGTGGTCCCCACGAGCCGCTTTATTGAGCTGAAGACACTGCTCGTGAGCAATCTGCACCCAATGGTCACCGAACAACAGCTTATTGAAAAGTTTGGTGCATTGGGGTCCATCTCGACTGTGCAAGTGTGCAGAAACAACATCATCTCTCCTGCTTATGCCTTTGTGACTTTCCATCATCGACGTGATGCAGTGCGAGCACAAAAAGCTCTGAACTTCACTGATTTACTGAATAAACCTCTGATCATCATGTGGGGCCCAGACAAGACAATTGAGGTCCTCTCAGATAATGACAGCAGCTCTCCAAGACAAACAGAGGAGAGAGAGACAGCTGGAGAAACAGAGGAGAGAAAGACCAGTGGAGAAACAGAGAGAGAGGCCGCTGGAGATACAGAGGAGAGAAAGACCAGTGGAGAAACAGAGAGAGAGGCCGCTGGAGATACAGAGGAGAGAAAAACCAGTGGAGAAACAGAGAGAGAGGCTGCTGGTGAAACAAAGGAGAGAGCGAACAGCGAGTCTTCATGGGGAAGAAGGATCTCCAACAATGTGAAAAGTGCTATGAAAGCTGCGTTGAGCAGTCCAGCAGCCTGGGTCGGAGTCGGCATAGGTGTCTGTGCTGCTTATGCCTACTTCAGGAGCAGGAGCTAGTGTGGACACATTCTAAAAGGTAATTTCATCTCATTTAAGTGACATGACATCTGACTGAGCTTAGTAACACTTCTGGAACATGCTGTATGTCACACACACATATGTATATATAGAATTCTCTGTGGGTCAGAGGTCATGTTAATTTATACTCAAATTCAGCTTCATTTAGACATCGACACTGATTTTCTTGACTCTGTTCTCTTCCAGACGAGAAGGCCTGCCTCACGATCTCCACTCATCATCCCCAGAGTGACCAATCACTGCTCCAGAAAGAACTTGATTTCCCCAGCAGGCCAAACACTTGCAATAAATGTGAATTGAATAAACTGTCTTGTGTGTGTCTCATTCAGCAGTAAAGCTCAGCCTTGCAATTTATATCCATCCAAGAGAAGCATAATAGCACTTTGTTCCAGACACAGAAGTAAACAATAGGATTTTTTTCACATCTATTGATGTGTTAGACAATAATTTACAGACCGTATGAGAAGGACTGCATCAAAGAACAATCAAATGTAGAATTGCAAATCATTATTTCATATATAATGTACAGTGGGTTCTAATAATGTCTGTACAGGAAGATATTCGGAAGAACGTTGGAAAAAAGCAGCTGTTGACTTCCATAGTATTTTTCGTTCCTACTATTGTGGGTTTTTTCTGTACCACTTTATTTTGATGGTTAGATCATCTTTATTTTGAGTATTAGTAGACTGTCTGCTTAATATCTGCTGATTCTGCTCCTTCAACAGACATTTAACTGACTATAAGAAACTTTGCAAGTGCATGTCAACTTACCCTAACCCCAACCCAACAGTCTAATGAAAATTAGTTGGCATGTACTGTAGATACAATGTTACTTAAATTCAACAAACTGACCATCAAAATAAAGTTTGGCTGTTTTTCTTTTACAACATTCTTCAAAATATCTTCTTTTGTGTTCAACAGAAGAAAGAAATTCAAGGTTTGAGACCACTTGTGTGTGAGTGAATGATGAGTAAATTTTCATTTCTGTGTGAACTGTCCCTTAAACGCTGGCTTAAAATATGTGATTTGTTTAAGAAATGTGGTTAAACATGCATGTTTCAGTAAAAATGATTTTAAGTATATTGTATGATGTAGATATTGACTTGTTGCCACCTATTAGCCTGAAGTGATAAGGTCTTAAAAGGGGGCCTATTATGCTAAATCACTTTTATAAGTGGTTTAAACAGTTGTGTGGCAGCAGTGTGTGAATAACCAATGTGCAAATTACAGGGGGTTTGGGGAGGGTTTGACCCCCTCCAATATTGCTTGATCCCCTCTGAAGGACTTTAAAACAAGATGTATGAGAGGTGGGTCAGCACGTTAATAGTAAGAAAATGCTTTCTCTGATCTATGTCCTTAATATTAATAATAAAAAAGTATAATGTAAATATAGATTTGAGCGGTTCATAGCATTATAAATGCATAATTGTGCCAATCAATGCTAGGAAAATATCATTCAACAGTCTGAAAATAGCAGCTCTTGAGGACCAATACCATCTAAAGTTTTCACAACACACATTTCTTGTAAAATACTGTAGGTGTCTATATCTGCATGTAGCCCAAAAAAAAAAATAAAAAAATGGACACATAATTTGTATAGTTTGACCTACAGTAACCTCTAAAAGTCACTAAATATCCCTCAAAACACTGAAAACGTATGCATTTTATTAATAAATTAGATTTTATTTAAATACATTCTTACATTTAGTTTACTGAAGCATGTATTACCAAACTACTACCAAAAAATTTGGTACTACTACCCCCCACAGGTGCACATGCATTGATTTCCGACATGTTAAGTGGAAATGACTTGACAGTATATGGTAGTTCGTCATAAAAGCATGTTACTGTATACCACTGTAATCAGGCAATATATGAGTGATTAGGAAATAGCTTAAAACACTCTTGATAAAATCTTATTTGTCTTAGTTTAACTGGGAAATAGGTCAATAATATTAGCCCCCCTATAATAAATATATATTTTATTTCCTTTCATTTATATAGCATTTTACGGCAGCCATATTGCGCATCAGCTGATTGGGGGAGAGGAGACAGATTAATATTAAGATTAAGCCAATTATAATATGGGGATGGTTAGGAGGCCAAATTTAGCCAGGATGTCAGGGTGAAACCCAAACATTTTTTTAAATCCCCTGGGATTTTTAACGACCACAGAGGATCAGGACCTTATTTTAAAGAGCCCATATTATACATGAAATAGGGTCATATCTTGGTTGTAAGGGTCTCCAACAACAGTCTAATATGCATGCAAGGTCAAAAAACACTTTTATGGTCTTATAATCTGCATTTATTTTTACCTAAATATCCCAGCGACTCCCGTATGAATCGTCCAGTGATTCATTTGTTCCCAAACCCCTCCTTAGCGCGAAGCTAATCTGCGCTGATTGGACCAATGACACTCTGTCGCGATTGGTCGACTGCCTTCAGTCAGAGAGTGAAATGGGCAATAGCTAATCAGCAATATAAAAAGTAATCACAGTTCATACACGCTCGATAGTGTAGGCGTGGATTTTAGCTGCCATACACACACAAAAACACACACACACCTCCGGACGACAACGCTTCCGCCCGCACCCGCCAGGTTTTAGCCTGAGAACCCGCTCCATTTTCTGCCCGCCGTGCCCGATCCCGCTAGAGCGGGGGAGAACACAACCAAAAGTTACCCAGCTATACAGTCCAGATAGCCAAGATGTCTGTATAAACACACACACAGCACCAAGCACACAAAGCTCGCTCTCGCTCGCTCTCTCTCTCTCTCTCATACGCGCGCGTGCGCACTAACACACACACACAAGCACCAAGCAGACTCTCTCTTTCTCATTCGCATAGCAATATCCGTGATATTGCTAGACAGCCCGCTCCCGTCCTAAATTAAACCCGTTACCGACCGCTCCCGCGATTTATTTGGAAATTTATGCAGAAATGCAGAACTCTACCACGGAGCTCCATAAACAAAGCAGCACGCGTCGCGTTTTTAACGTGACTTTGCACGCGATAAGAGAATATAGCCAGTTAACTGGATACAGTACACGCGGTTACAAGTAACAAATCACAAATACAAATACATTTGCAAGCTAGAGTCAACGAGGCAACAACTTTAACCGCACGTACTTACACTTGAGAAATGAAAACCCATCCTGACGTCCATCAGTAAGTTACTCTTTACTGATCCTTCCTTTAACAAATGCAGATGAAGTATTCTTTGTAGCATGTAGTTTGCAGAAGTTTCCAGTAGTTTCCAACTGCTTGGTTATAATGCTGATGTTTCATCTTTGGGTAGAGACTCAATATAATATCCATCTGCAGTGTGACTTCAATCGACCGGCATGTTTGTGTTTGTGTTTGTGTGTGTCTGGGTTTCTGCGTCAGAGGGCGGGGCCTCAGGTTTGAAATCTCCCGGGTTTGCGCGTGCACATGAATAACTTGGTTTCATTCGTACGTCATGGCGAAACACCTAATGAATCGGTATCAAGGCGACTTGTTTAAAGCACTATGAGTCGACTCTTTTATAGATGAATCAACTGTTTTAAACACTGTATTCTTACAGATTTAAGCCTTAGCTGGATACTTCACTTCACTTAGAGCTGTGTTACACACTACATGGAGGGGAATTTTCAAAAACCCATAATATGGGCTCTTTAACATCTGAACAGTATAGAGACTCCGTTTCTATACTGGGGCGTTAGGACCCAAGCAGACCACAGGTTAAGCACCCCCTACTGTTCTCACTAACACTACTTCCAGCAGCAACCTAGCTTTTCTATGTGGTCTCCCATCCAGGTACTGACCGAGCACAGCCCTGCTTAGCTTCAGTGGGCGACTATGTGAGAGCTGCCGGCTAGCTAGCTTTTTGATTGGCTACAGAATTTTAAGTTCGTTATACAATGACTTGTCTAATTGACCTAATTAACCTAGTTAAGCCTTTAAATGTTGCTTTAAGCTGAATACTACTATCTAGATAAATAGCTTAGGAAATATTATCCACCATCTCCATAGAATTATTAAATAATTATGTATAAGAGTTGATTTTGATAAATGATTTCACAGATAGGCAAATGATTTTGTATTTAGTTGTATATTCCTTAGTAAGAGTCTAAAAGTAAGTGATTGAAAATAGGGTCGGTGTGCGCACATCCTACGAAAACTTCAAGCAGGCGCTCGATCAAATGTGTGAATGATCTGCTTTTATCTCGATGTTTCTCAACAGTGCCAGAAGAGAAGTTTTTGACGCTGGAAGTTTTCCACAAGTTTACTCTAGACAGAGCCAAGCAGGACATCCGCAGTGTTTGGCGGGCGATCCTGGCCTGTGTATATGACCTACTCTTTGACAGGTTTGCAGGTTTTAAAATGATCTTTGGCTTCACCACATCAGCGCTCACATCTCATATATCACAGAAAAACAGGCAACACAAATACATTCAATATCATCACATAAACCACATTAAAAACTCAATTATTAATGAAATTCTAATGGCAGTCGGCACAAATGACATTTGATACACAGTTTTCTTTACTTGGATCTATATCATGGTTGCAGGTTTGTGCGCTCTTCCGGGGTGTCTGTTTGATCATGTGGGCTTGTTTTGTTTTTGTTGTCCACGTGTATTTGTTCTGGTCATGTGTTATGACCAAGCGGCAACCTCCCGCTCTCCCCCAGGAAGCCAATACGGAAGTAACTAAAACTGCAATTCATCCGAAATTCCGCTAGTCCTGGCCGCTCCTGGCTCCAAAACAGAGCAAATTTCAATTGAGCCCACTGTTAGAATGGCCAACTTTACAGCAGAAAAAAAGGTGTTTACAGCCTGGTACAAAAAAAGATTTTGGTTAATACAGCTAATATTACCCTTCATGACAACTGTGAGGGGGGTGAATTTTTTTTATAACTCATTCGTTTCCTTTATATTAAGTTATATTAAGTTTGCATAATTAAGGGCGTGGCCACTTGAGTGACAGTTAGGTCTCACTGGTCGCCGTCACGTCACCTCTGCAGATTAGCGACTGAACTCGACATATTATCGTATTTCTGTGTTGTTTTATGTGGCTTTACACAGTCAACTGCCGTTTGGACTTGTTTCCCACAATTATTAGATGGCATGGCATGCTGAGGGCACTTAATTGTGCTCACAAACCATTCACGTGGCCTCCGTTTCCCATGTGAGTAAAGTTATATACTTATATACCATCTCTGTACATGTATTTGTTTTATTTAAGATCATTTATCATTTATATTTATATTTAGAGCTGTAATGCACTCAAGAATCTGTCAGATTGATTAGCTGTAGGCT